AGCAGGTGGTGCACCCCGTGGCTGGGAACCCCTCAGATGAAGGGGCTTCAGCCACAGGGGAGCATTTGGTCACATGTTCAATGAACGGCATGATTAGAACAAGCTACAAAGTGACTACACTTTTTTTGGAATATCTTTGTAGCTTATTGGTTGCTTTATCATGCCATTAATTGGTTCAAGGTAGAGCTGGATCACAATTTAGCTCGTTAATTATGCCTTAAGTGTGAAGTGTAGAGGGGGCCTTACAACTATCCTTTATGAAGGGTGGTGGTTGCACCCTTCCCCTCCAAAGTTAAGAAGCTACAACTCAAACCATATCAGTAGTTCAAAATAAACAGTGCATACCTGATTTAAATGGTTCCTTTTATTTGTTCCCACAGCGTATGAATCAATTTAAGCCCCACAAGTTTCTATGCCAAGTTTTAAGTGATCCTTTGTGTAAAGAGAGAGAATGGGGAAGTGTCAACTTGTCATTTAGAAGGAAGTCTAGTCAGTCCGTTACGTTAGGTGGAAGGATAAAGTTGTACCTAATTAAACCCCATTCATTTGATGACATAATGTGCAGTCACCAGGCTCATAAAGATTTCCCTTTTGTACACTGAGAGAACTCCTCTGCTAGCTTTAAATGCCACTTCTCGTTTCCACTAGGATTATGTCTTCAATGGTTGCCCAGATTGAAAAAGAGCAGGGAAACTAGGCTGGAAGAAGCTTTTGTTTTAAATCCCACACTTACACTTACACTTAGGAATCAGAAGCCCATTTTAAGTTACTGATTGTTTCAATAAGTGTGTGTATGTGTGCATACACATGAAATGTGTATGCATGTATGTTATACAGGCAACTCCTGCTTAGCACTCTTTATTGGTTCCCAAAAAACTGAGTGTTAAGCAAAATAGTGTTAAGTGAAACCAAGTTTTTGATGAATCAAGATGGCGACCATCGTGAATGTTATAATGAAGCTTGCTGAATGCTAAGCAAAATTCAGGTATCAATGTAAAATGAGCATTACAGCAAAATAGTGCTAAGTGAAACAGCATTAAGCAGGGGTTGCCTGTACACACACACACACACACACACACACACACACACACACACACATATTTAGTCTTTTAAAAAGGGGATTCAGTTGCCTGCTCATGGCCAGTGTTGGGGAGACATGGCATTAGGGGAAATGTCAGAATTTACCACAGTGCGACCAGTAGTTGCCTTGCTAGTGCTGCCTTGCTATCCCTGGAAAGCCAAGCTCACAGATGAAAACTGGCAAAACAAATATGATAACCATCCCACACATATCTCGTATTTATCAGGGATCCAGGCTTTTCGTTTGCTGTGGAAAAATGCGGATTTTCTCCTTTAAAGGAGAAAAATGTGGGAAACTGTGGGTTTCCCCTTATAGGTTGGCAGAGTTGCAGCTTGCAAGGGACTGCTTGGGGCTGGGAGAGAGCAAGATGCAGAGGGAAGAGAGCACCACGTGTATGTGTGCACACACACATGCACATGGCAGCTGGGCAGCATGGTGTAGAGCAGCTCCTGCAGCTCCCTCAAGGTAAATGTACTGGGGGGAGGCCACAGGCAACGTAGGGGGGGAGCTGGAAGGCATGGGCAACATAGCGGAGAGGCATGTGCCCCACCCCCGATTTCTGTACCTATACCAGGGCACATAGCTGCAGCCTAGCTGGATCAGCTCCAGGCAGGAGCTGCCTCTAAATCCTAGTGGGCAGGACCCAGAGCAAGAGGGAGGAAGTGTCACACCGCCACAGCTGCCAGGGTGAGGCACCCCCTGCCCACCTGGCAGCAGCAGGGGACACAACTCTGCACTGCTGCCATGCCCCACCTTGGTGGCAGTAACAGCTGGAGAAAATATATTTGGACGGGGGGGCCGAGGGCCATTGCAGAGCCACCATGTGCTGGTGGTGGGTGTTGGTGGTGAAGTGGGGTGCTGTTGGGGCAGGGCATGGTGGTGGTGCCAAGTGGCACTGTGGGATGGTGGCACCATGGAGATGCTGCTATCGCCAACCACTGTGTAATGAGTTGGGGGGGGCTTCACCATGTTAGCCCTGGCTTCCCCAACCTATGTTTGGTGGCCATGGCAGTGTGGTGCTCCCTGCTGCATTGGGTCTCATCTGCTGGGCCGTGGAGGCAGCTCCCACATGTGCTTGGTACGGCCAGGTTGCAGCCCTTTGCCCCACTGTGGGCGCAGAAAAGTGGAGAGGCATGCGTCCCCCCGCTGTGTTGTGTGTGCCCAAACCCCGCCTTCCCAACATACCCACCGTGTTTCCCACACACTGGAGGGATGGGAACAGGAGGACAGTGGGTTGGGAATGAAGGGCACTAGCAGGGCTAGGGGGATGGAGGACTGTGGGTCAGGAATGAGGGGCACTGACAGGCCAGGCAGCTGTGGGTTGGGAGTGAGGGGCAATGACATGGGCAGGGGCAGGGCACCGGCATATCAGGGTTGCTCAGAGCCACAAAACAGGGGGAGTGGTGGGGGACAGCTGTAGTAGGACCCACATCCTGGTGAGCAAAGGGGGAAGGGGAGCTCTGATTTTCCATCAAAATCACAAAATCAAATGTCAAAATACATAGGTATTTAGAATTTATTATAATTATTGACGCACTGGTAGGCTTCCAAATAGCTTTAAAACTGTAAACATATCAATAAAATATTGTGTTCAACTGATACCTATTTATTTACTGGCATTTCATTTTAATCGCAGAAAAAAGATGCATTTTGTGTTTTTAAAAATCAGAGAATGTGGGATTTTTAAACAAAGAAAACCAGGATCCCTGCTTATCATGTCTTTCATTTTTAAAGGCATATCAAAAGGACTCTCTTTCTTTGCAGGCACATTAGGAGTGGAAGGACCATCCATCCTGATTAGGAATCTGAGCACATGGATGTTGTTGCAAAGGAGAAATAGGAAAAGACTTCACTGCAGATGCAAAAGACTGGCACTAAATAGAAAGAGCTATTGAAATTGTGGGGGGAGGAACAGCAAAGACACTTGAATAGGTTGATGGAACAGAAGAAAGGGAAAGGGGTGAGAGTGGGAATTAATGAAGTGCTCCATCAAAATGGTCTTGACCAGCTTCAAGCACCTATGGAGAATGGTGGCAGAAGGGTGAACGAGTGTTGATACCCCTCAGGTGCCCTACAGTTGTTTAGCCCATTACCACTGCCACGGCCCCAGTTCCTTGGTTGCTGGCCCCTGCCACCAGGTGCCCCATACTATGGCGGCAGCTTCAGGTCTGTCATGAGGCCCATGGTAGGAACCAGAGCTGTGCTGCGTGCCCCATCCCAGAGGTGGAGCTGCTACTGCTGTGTGCCCTGGGTTGGAGCCACAGCTACTACCACTGCATGCCCTAGGTTGAATCTGGCCTGCAAGAAGCTCCGCAGTTTGGATGCAGCCAAGGGCACAAGGTGAGTTAATACACCTGGTCTAACTCTTAGTGGCATGCTGTTGCACAGGGAAACATATCTTTTTTCCAAAAAAAGTCAAAGTTCAAGGATCAAAAGAAAACAGAACAAGGTAGAAACAGAAGTGCAACCCCCCCACCCAAACATCCCATTGTTTACAAGCCACAATACACAGCATACATTTTGTTTTGTATTGAGATCGTAAACAGCAAAACTCATGATTTGAAGGGGTATTTGTTCACTCTAAAAAGCGGCAATTAAAAAATGGCACCCGCTTACTCAACAGATTAACTCCTGTGTACTTGTTCTGTCCAGTTCCCCTTCTGTTTTTACTGTTCATCTACTCCAGCAAAGAGTGAATGAGCTGGAGATCATCTACTGAATTAACTGCGGGCCAGCTGCAGTGATCTTTGGCCTAGTTACATTTGTGCAATATCCGTAATGACAAATGACTGCCAAACACATGCGATCTGACATGCAGGAAATGTATTATCAAGAAACTAGACACAGCTTGACTCACTCCAGATTGAGCCTATAGTGATAGCAGTGATTACGGCATAAAGCAAAACAAAACTACATTACATTGAGCATGAATCAAATGAACAAATAAACAGATACAACAAATTAATTTCCACCATGCTATTTTTTGTGATCGCTTATTTGAGCAGAACTGCAAGCTAATGTGTGTAGCTGTCTGCTTTCCTAACTTCACAATATATTTGAAAGGCACGCCTGACTGACATTTTCTAGCTGTGAGCTGACATGATGTAGCAGGGCTGGTGTGCTGCTGCAGCTGTGGGGGTCCAGCAGAATACGCAAGAAGCAACGCTTGTTTGGCAATATCTTTCACTGGACCATTGGACCAGCTGGGAGAGGTGTGAGATGAACTTTTGGGCCCAAACTGCCCCTTCTCGGGTCTTCAGAACTCAAGTCCCCAGACATGCAGCAGGGCGCACCTGAAAGTTTGTCTCACATCTCTCCCAGCTTTACAGTTGATCCAATAAGATCTTAGCTGTTACAGCACAAGGAATCCATTGGGGTCTATAAGGACTGTAAGGAGGAGGGAAATAAGCCAGCCAAATACACTGAAACCAAGATATAATCCTGTCTTCAATATATGTGGCAATTATCTATTCAGAATATCCCTGCTAAACCAGCATAACTAGGTGCAATGTGGATTATGGCTGCTAAAGTGAACTCATAATCTACAGGGTCTTTTTTTAAGTGTTCTAACTCTTAGGCAGAAAGGCTAACTGTGAAGTTAAAACCTTCTAGGAAACAGGTGAACAACTGGACCCCAAACAAAATGTCTACAATCTTCAGATGGCTGGAAACTCGTGGGAATAGCTGCTACCTAGGTCTGGGAAAGGGTAGGAAAGCAGCAATCCCTGCAAAACTTTGGGGCAGGGGGGAGGGAATTTAAAAAACTGGCAAGAATCGCCTTGATCTCCAAGAGAGAGACAGACTCAGCCCACCCCCTCCGACCCTCACCTCAGAACAAACTCCCATGAGGCTGGCACTGAAAGAGAGGAAGGCAAGAGAACTTTTTCAGGGAAAG